CTCATGTCAGCTTGGTGACCCTCTTGGCCAAAGCTCTCATGCTCAAAGGGTAGCTCCAGGAAAACAGCAATGGAATTCAGAATTCAGTTAGTGCAGTACCTATCCCTGCATCTGCTTTTTATTTTGTAGTGTTTTATAATTTGGATGATGGGAAGGGAAGCCTGGGTAGAAGTAATTCCTCCCTTAGCACTAAGGATTTCTAAGTGTATTCACAGCACAGGTTCAATGTGCCTTTAAAGTTGCTCCTTAAATTGGTGCACTCTGCCTCACCCAGTGGCGGAGTGAGGATTCAAAGGCTGAAGAAGATTGAGAGGAGCTAGTAAAAAAAATTGGAGAAGGCAAAACCTGAAAGATATCTGAGAATACAGCCAATGTTACAAGCAGAATCTGGGTGTGATGGATTAGAAAACAGGTACATCAGAGCCAGTATTGGTCATTGGCTGCTTCTGCCTTGGCTCTTCTGTATTTCTAAAGCATAGGAGAATTTATGCAGTAAATAAAGGCAAGTAAATATAGGCATACACTTCAGATATGATTAGAATTCTTTTTGAAGGTATGTGGGAAGTGATTTTAATGTTCACCTTTTAGGAAACATCCATAAATAATAACTCCTAATAAAACAGACTTTCTGGTCAGGAAATTGACCTAGCCCTAAAAACTGTCTTTCTATTGAGCGTACCCTCTCAGATATCTCATGAGGAAATGAGTAAGAGATGTAGAGGTGGAATAGAGGGTATAAAAGGTAGTTCGTGCAGCCTTGCCTTTCAGATGAAGGGGTCAGGGTTTCATGGATTGTAATGAGAAAGTTAAATCTAACTGAAACAATGTGGCACCATAATTTTTGCAAATTAGCCATTAAGAGTTGATACCTGTCATAAGAAGAGCCACCCTGAAAAAAATGACTGAAGTGAAGAAAGATCATCCAGCCTCAAAAAGAAATACTTAAGCAATAGAAAACTATAACCACTAGGATAGAATTTCTTTTTACTTTTTTACTCTGAGTCTTTTACCTCTCTTCCATATAGGTTTCACCTTTATCTCTGTGGTATTACAAACTAGGGGATGAAGGATAAGACCCTATCTTAGGAGGGAGTGGGTGCCTTCTGTGAATTGGAAAGCATTTCCAAGTGATAGCATTGCACGTGTTGACATTGCTCAGATATGCTCTTACTGCATTCTGATGACTGATAATCTTTGTAAGTAAGCATTTCAAGAAAGATGCCCTCCTCCCCATCCCCCACTAGCTTCCCCATAGGATCAATAGGTTTTAATTCATATCTTCATTTTTCTGATATGTTATACATATAGAGGTGGTGGTGGCAGTACAGAAATACAAAGAAGTTATCTCTCTTACCCTCCGGGGTCCCTTTAGGTCATTAGCACAGAAAGGTTAAATGCCTTCCCATCAGGCCTGTTTTCTTTCCAAAGAACCTGTGACACTGATGCATCAGTTTAGGACAAGAAGAATACTTCTTCTGCTAGATAGAGCTTGAGGTTTACAGCTTTAGGTGGTCTAGAGACTATAGACCCAGCTGATGTGTCAACCTGGATATTTTGATTGTGATAAATGCACATTAGTCACTAGAGTTAACATTTTTCTTCCCCTTCCAGTTACAGGTGCAGAATGGACCTATAGGACATCGAAGTGAAGGAGAACCAAGTGGTATTCCTATAGCTACGGTGCTTGTGCCAGTGTTTGCCCTCACCATGGTGGCAGCCTGGGCCTTCATGAGATACCGGCAACAACTTTGAAAAGCTTGTTTCTACCCGTCCTCCCAGTGAAGACAAATTTCCTCACCCTCCTTCCCTGCCATTCTCCCATATCTTTTCCTCTCTCTGTGTAGCCAACACGTGATTTAAAGTGACTGATACCCATCTTGTTATTCAGTCTCCAAATCTTCATATTCTAATGGGAGAGTAAAAGTATTGTTTGAAGGAAAGCTGAAGAAAAGACTTACTTAGAACAAATGAGGAGTTATATATTTTACTAGGACTGCCAATGGAAATTCAGCTACCACCCAAAGAGGGAAAGGTCCAGTCTTCCTGTCACCATGGGTGATACTTTTTTCTTAGCTGGCATGCCTTAAAGACCAGCTGTGTGATATGAGAGGAAGAGAGGATTTTTCTTTTTAATGACCTTCCTTGGGAAGTTTTTGTGGCCTTATTTAATTTCTAACTACATACCTAGGTGCCTATATTGGACAAAGGACAATGAGAAGAGCATTTTTACTTTTTTTAAAAAGCAAATACACATACACACATACATATGCATATAAAATAGTATATTGGTGATGCCTTATAGAGAATTAAAGAGGTGAAAGAGCTACTCTGTGGTTTCTAGGTTTCTGATCTAAGGGATGATCTTAACTGAAGAATTTGAAGAGGTGATTATGGAGCATATATAATAGGAACAAGGGAGTGAGCCTTAAAAGAACATGTTCTATCTGAATCATTAAAAAAATGACTGAAGCAACTAATTGAAAATCTTAGAACAATATTTCTTCTCACAATAGCTATGGTAAAGTTGAGGTAAATTGCCATAATCCACCTCTGCTCAAGTCAATCTGCTCAAAAAACTTTTGAGATATAAAGATAAATCTTACCAATCTCTGCGTACTCTAGTGACTTTTTTGGTAACTCTCAATCCTGTAAAGGATCAGCTGAAATGATTGTGGTCAGATCTATACTGATGGGGCTAAATCAACCCAGTGAGAAAACTCTAAAGGGACAAAAGATAGTGCCTGCAAGGTGGCACCTAAACCTTCTCAGGCTATCTACCAGTCTGGTTTCTAGTAACATGCAAAACCTGAGAAGGAACTGCCTCCCTGGCAGGTTGGTCACAAAATCACCTCTGCTTCTGATTTAGTTGAGAGGGCCTGGATTACTCATTTTTTTGAAAGGCTCTAAATACTGATTAAGACTTTTAATTAATAGACCATTTTGCAGGGGGAAAAAGAGGGTTTTTTTTGTTTTGTTTTACAGGGTAGGGAAATTTGGAAGGTGTTTCATGGGGAAAGCCTGAGAGAAGGATATGGATGAATGGACGCTAGGGAAAACTAGGGATATTGATAAGGTGGGAACCATTCTGTTCATGTGGTATTTAAGGTTGGTTTTAAAGCACTAAGGATAGCTGAACCAAGGCTAATTTTCTAGCTTTAAGAAAATCATTTGCATTCTCCAAATCTACTGGCCAGGCTGTAGGCCTTATCTAATTTCGACAGCAATATTATGCGCACTTTCCCTCAGGCAATCAATTGTATCGAATTTTTAGAATGACAGTCTAGTAATTATTTAACAAATGTTGATTGAACATCAGCTTTGTTAAGATCGTTTTAAAAAGAAGTAAAATGCATACCCTCTATCCTAAAGGGCTTTTAGTTCCAGTTGAGAAGAGAATACTTAAAATGGAATTAGCCACATAGGCTGGGCAATGTTAAGTTGGTGTCAAGTTTATATTGGAGACAGCAAAAGAGAAAAGTTACTGAGAATTGGGGCACTTGAGAAAGTTCCATGGAGGAAGGGAACTCATAGAGGAAGAACTCTTGAGGACCTCAGTCTATTTAAGAGAATTCATAAAAAGGTGAAAAGTTAAAAGTACATCATCAGGTTAAGTAATAATTGAAAAACAATAATAAAAGAAACAGTATTATGCAGAACATGCAGCAACAAAGAAGATATGCAGACAGCCATCACTTTTTTTTTTCCATGGAGGAAGGGAACTCATAGAGGAAGAACTCTTGAGGACCTCAGTCTATTTAAGAGAATACATAAAAAGGTGAAAAGTTAAAAGTACATCATCAGGTTAAGTAATAATTGAAAAACAATAATAAAAGAAATAGTATTATGCAGAACATGCAGCAACAAAGAAGATATGCAGACAGCCATCACTTTTTTTTTTAAAAGAAATTCAGAGGTAGAAAGCTGTCACATATATGGCATCAGGCTAGATTGGAAAAGGAAGGCGTTTAAAAAATAAAAGGTCCAGAAAGAACTTGCCTCTGGGTCAACTGTTGGTACAGGGAAAAACATGCTTTAGATAATCGTGATATAACTTATACCTTTCAACCTGAACTAATCAGTATCTTTGAGATTCACTTAGACAACTGGACTCATTGTAGGTTCTGCAGAGAAACACTGACAGTGTTCCAGTTCTCACATCAAGCAGCCCCACAATGGAGGCAACAACCTCTGGTGCCCTCCCTATATCTGAAGACACCTGCAGAGATTCTGCAGTGGGTCTGCTTATCACCCAGGATTCTCCTCACGGCTTGGACATTAACTCCTGAGAGGACTTCGAGACATACAAAGTGAAGCAAGTGGCAGGCAAGAAAGAAAGCTATTTAGTTTTTTGTTCACTGGTTCACTGGTATGTGTAAATAAAAAAATAAACCTATCACATTATTGGTAGAAGTTTTGCTTTGGTTGATAATAGGAATTCTGATGCACTTTCATAATTCACGTTTTCTCAGAAATTAAACAGCATTTGAAGACCAATATATAAAGTTTTAGGCAGGTATGCTATTCAATTACATTTTTCTGATTCTGTGGAAAATAAGTTATCATAGATGAGGTATCAGAATCCATTATATGTTGTAAAAAATTCATGCTCTTTATAGATTGAATCCAATATTCATTCCTACCACTTTATAGATTGTATCTAATGTTACTACCACCTAAATTATTATGTTCAAAGTTCTGCAAATTGAATGAAGGCATTTTTAAGGCACTCTACTTAAAACATTTCTCTATCATTCTTTATTATATATATAATTCTAATAAGATATTGTTTATTTCAATTGTCTCTATTTTCTTTTCCTGCAAAGTTTCAACTTCTTTACTATGAATTTAACTTAATTGCACCATCTAGTCATGTATAGTGGAAAAGGGAAGTTTGTATTTATTATTGCATTCTGTGCCAGGGACTGTACCAAACCCTGATTGAGTGTACACTATTTATTCATGCCTCACAACTCTGAGATCTGAGTGTTGTTATAAAGAGACTAAAGATGAAAGAATAAATTAAGGTTACATAGGTGGTAATAATAGAATCAGGACTGAAATTCAGATTCAGGTGCCAGCATCAACAATATTTCTTCACTGGCAGTGGTTCTTAAAGTGAGATCTCTGGACAAAAACATGAGTATTACCTGGGAACTTGTTAGAAAACCAAATTTTGGGGCTTCATCCCAGACCTATTGAATCAGAAACTCTGAGCATGGCACCCAGCAATCTGTGTTTTAATTATCCCTCCAGGTGACTCTATTTACACAGTTGTTTAAGATTTACTCTCTGTGCCAATAGTTGTTCCCTTCTCTCAGGTTAGAATCACCTGGAGAGCTTGTAAAAGTTCTAATGCCCAGGCTGCACCTCAAACCAATTAAATAGGAATCTCTGGGGGTGGGAGTTAGGCAGCAGTAGAATAAAGGTCATCAGGTGACTCCAGTGTGCAGCCTTAGTTGAAGATATTCTGTGGCATTTAAACCTCAACTCTAAGTTATTAAATTACATACAGACATTGCTTCAGCCAAATACATGAACTTCACCCAGGCCTTTTCAGAGCCCAGCTCTCAGCTTCTGCCCCAAGTATAGATATGAAATAAGAAGTGGAACATTCTTTCACTCCTGATTTGCTAAGGACATCAATCTCCAGCAAAATGTATGATTAGTGAGTGTTTCAGTTTGTGCATCTATTACATTAGGACCAAATCATAGACTGTTGAAGCTAAAAGGGAACCAGAAAGATTATAGGATGAGTCTGTCTTAGAAATGAGAAAATCAAGGCTCAGAGAGGTGAGCTATCATGATCAAACTTAGTCTGTGGCAGAGGTTCCCTTTCTGTCTCATATTTATGTCTTGAATGTATCCACTACATGAATACATACAAAATTATTATTTTTTTTTATCTCAGTCTACTTCTTTGAGCCTTGAATAAAGACCAGAAGAACTGATTGACTGCTGAAGGGTATTGCAAGCATCATTATTGGAACTGGGAGATTCCACAGAACAATCTGAGAAAGATCTAATTTCAAATCCAGTCAGAGGAGTTCTGAGTTTAATTCCTATAGTTCTAAACTAGAGACATGTTTTTTGATGGTGGATGTTGTTTTTATTGTGTAAATAAGCAGTTTTAAAATATATTTAAAGAAATGAAAAAACATAAGGAACTATAGGCTGTCAAGTATGTGGGAAAGTGGGGTTCGTGTAGTTTCATGTAGAGCCAATAAAGATTTTATTCTTGTCAACTTTGGTGGAAATTTATCTTTGGACAGATGAGGGTTTTATACTTCATTTAGCAAATACCTAATGAGCGTCTACAATATGCTAGGTGCTGAAGATACAAAGGTGACTAAAATACAGTTACTCAAAGATGAAACAGCTCAGCATCTGAAAGTGGGAGAATATATGTAGGTGATCTTATTTTAATAACATTACCTAGAAGTGGACTATTGAGTTTCAAAGCTCTGTACCTCTTACTTATAATAGCTTTAGAGTTGGAGTTGCTGCTATCCTGGAGTAAGCCCCTTTTGCTGTTCCTCTTTTAACTGCATATCTTTTGAGACCAGCACACATCCAAAAGGACAATTATGATCAAAAGAAAGACAGTATTTTAAGGAATTCTGTTCTGTTCGGAATCAGATTCTTAACTGGTGTGGACTTGTATGATGTTGATATTTGTATATAGAACACAAAGCACTTGGTTTGCTTACTTGATGCACTTGGTGATACTAAAAGATTCTAACAGATTTCCTGTTAATGTTTTTTTTTGGGGGGGGGCAGGGAAAAAGGGAAGGGGAGAAAGCTGAAGTATTTTTTCAAATGCAAGTCAATCATTAACTCACAGAGTCATTTACAAAAGAATTTTGTATTTGCTGTAGTCATTAAATTTATTGACCACAGGAAAATGGTATGATTCTTCTTCCTAGTTTGCAGATTTGCATGTGGAAACTCAGAATTGAATCCCATTTTAATCCCATATCTGAAATGCTGATTTGAATATGGGTTTCTTATTCCTGGATATATGTGAATTTTACCTCCAGGCCGTGTTATTCTTATAAGGTATTTTCCTTATGAACCTTATTTTGTTTTGCTTTCTTTCTGCTTTGCTTTTAATGTTACATTGCATCCCTGGGTGGAAACAGCAGTCCATTTCTCAGATCAAATAGGTGCCCTATAACAATTTGGAAAAAATGTGGACATAAAACCATATTATCTAGGGAATTTTACTTCAGATTAAATATGCTAATGAGGGCATCAAGATCCATGATAATCTCTCTCAAGCTTTGCTATTTCATAACAGATACAGTAAATGAGAGTGGGTCTAACTATGCCTACCCAGTATTGACACTCAATAAAAGCTTGTTAAATTTGTCATTGAATCTTTACAATCTCTTTTTCACCTTATTTTATAGACTGTTGATTAAGTATATCCTTATTTTTCTGCCACCTTCTTACAGTAAAATC